ACGTGTGTCGTACTATATTCTCTCAGTTTCAATGCGGGGCATTATAAGAGTATATAAACAATCTGGTCATGCAATTTAAATCATGGACTTTTGACAGCCATATTTAAAAATGGCCGCCAATTTGTAAAACGGTTCTAAAACATATATTTTTTATCAATGTGTGCAGTTATAAATGAGGAAATGGTACTTCTTTGATACAGCATACCAGTGCACACATAACCACACCGTAGTACCAAGTCTTATAGTCAACGTTTTCAGCGGGTGTCAAATGTATAACTTCCTTCGTATTCGAGAAAACAACGCAAGGAGGTGATAAAACTTGTGCTCCTTCCAAGTGGCTGGTTAAAAACAAAGTTAAGCCGAGTTTGTGTTTGGCGAGGTTGTTCAGATTGTTCTTGGAGAAATGAAATTACATAAATATTCCGAAAGTTTTCTTATCTGTTAATCCTTTTTGGAAATTCGGCTAGTGGTACAACAACATCCCTGTCTGAAAAAACATAATCACTTGTTTGGCGACTGAAAAAGTAAAATATACTAATCATTCATTGGTGTAACAGCTATTTCTGACTTGGCAAAGAAAGGGGTTGAAGATAATACGTTGATAAACATTACGGCACATTCAAATCCAAAATCCATAAAGCCATATCTCCAACTGGACAAACTAATGAAGCTAATGTGCCTACAATAAGTTTTAAGTTATAATTCAATAGCAAACTCGAATATATCAACAAGTAGTGCAGCAGACACCAAAAATACGAATTTTTTCATACTGTTTTCAACTGCAATTCATGCAATTTTTAGTTGCGATAAGTTATGACTCATTTTAATTTGTCAATTTTTCTGTAATTTTTATATCCTACTTACTGAAAATTTAAATAAAATTTCGATATGGACACATACTTTTACTCTTTCAACTTGGGAAATATTCTATCTGCTTCGGAGTCGGGCTCTTTCGCCAAAATATTAAAATAGACTCATGCAGTTTTTAGACAACATGCTTTCATGAAAAATTATCGGTAATTTTGATGCACTTATGTAATTACTTCCAAAAATTGCCTTTAGGATTAGTAAATACAATACATATAGCTGTTCGTAAATGGTTTTAGCTCTACCAAAAATGAATCATTCTACATAGTCTAAGTAGCGTTATTCAAATGCCTTTACAAAATAATAGGAATCATAAACCATGGTATATACTGATAATTATTGGATTAATAAAAAAATGTATAACAAGAAAATACGTTAGCCTTATAAAACTTGAGATCGGGTTACTAACTTCGTAAAGTTACGTTGCACAACTATTGTAGAACTTGGCGGTCTCAGCTCTCAAACTGAGGTTGCATAGGTATATAAGTTTACATGTAACTTTAGTGGCTATTCCTTGACTTTGAGAGATTTGCAAAGCTACTTCAATTTTGTGGTATTTGTGAATAAAGTACCGTAAAGCGGGGTGAAAACAAACCGGAGGGTGAATAGAAACTAAATGACAGTATTTTACTGAAAAAATCATAAGTTGTTTAAATTTAATCCGGGAAATAACTACTGTGGTACATAAACTCACCACATGATAAAAATCGCCAATTTAGTGGATTTAGTGAATAGATAATTAGTCATAATATAGATTAGGGAGTCCACTTAACATAAATACTTGGCAAATTTATCATAACATACCGGTAATTTGATTTCAAAGGTGTTTTGTAAAAACCTAACTCCAATTCTGTTTCTATTGACCCGCAGTTTCTAATGACCCGCCGTTTCTTTTCACCCATTGTTGTGTTTCCATTCACCCACTGTTGTGTTTCCAGTCACCCGCTTTCTTTTTTTTCGACGATATTTTTTATTTTGCTTTCAGATTAACAATGCCACGAGACTATGTACATAATCCAAGGTCCAAGTTTTACAAAAAAAAAAACGATCGTGAGGCTCTTGAAAAGGCCTTAAATAACATAAGAAATGGAATGTCCTATAGGGAGGCAAGCAACGTACATGAAATTAACTATTCAGTGCTCTATAGACACCACAAAAACCCTAACTCAAAAACACATGGAGGACAAACTACACTAACACAGTTGGAATATGAAGTTATACTGAAACAATTGATAACCTGTGCTGATTGGGGCTATCCCTTAGATAAATACGATCTTAGAGTAATGGTAAAAAACATATCTAGATAGTCGGGGTAAAAATGTACCTAAATTTAATAACAACTTACCGGGAAAAGATTTTGTACATGGGTTTTTGAAGCGACATAAGACACGACTACGAACACGGCTTTGTCAAAACATTAAGCGATCTCGAGCAGCGGTTTCACCCGAGACTTTAAATGTGTATTTTGATCACCTGGGTGCAGAATTAGAAGGTATACCGCCGTCTAATATTGTAAACTTCGATGAGACGAATTTATCCGATTTAAGGTCACCGGTATTTGGAATGAGGTAATTTCTTTGGTTCAAGGAAAAAGGATTCGTCCGGTTGAGAAATATATTTCTTTGTAATGTGCACTAAAAACAAAGAAACTGCTCTATTCCTAAAATTTTATACATTTATATCAAGATCTTCATGTTTTCGGATCAAACCTAGTTGAGTTATTTAAAACAAGTTCATCATTTTCTTCACATTATCATATATTTCCTTGGAACAATAAAACGTTGGATATCTCCAAACAATCTCCTGATGATCTTCTATAGAGGAACTGATTCTGTTGGTCACACCAGAACGTTGTCAGATCCACTACTTAGCTATAGCTACTAAATATTGATTTTTAGTATATTCGTCTCCAAAAATATTATCACCTGAACAACAATCGTAAGAAAAGATAAAAACTCCTAATTTATCTTTCGAAAATAAATTACCTATTATACCACCACAGCCGGTTGCAAACTCGTACACAAATATGTATACAAATTATCAAGACTCTTGCTTAAGCCACTTTTCAGCTTTTTATGATTTGATTTTTAATTATCCATCATAACAATGTAGTTTGAATAACTTAACCACATGTACATTTTAAAGATATACTCATACATTGTAAAATGTATAAAATCTTAATTTCACTATTTTCGGATAATTTAAATAGAGCAACTGACAATGCCGCGTGGCCATGTTAACGTCGCCCTTACAAATTTGCAAGAATCGACTGGAATGCGACCAGCGACGGACCAGGCAGTTATCGAATTAGAACGTTAAGGCGACCTTACATTGAGGCAACTAAGGACAACCAAGTCGCATGCGGCGCGACCGCATGTTGCACGTTGCCAGAAGTCGCACAGTCGTATGCGGCTTGCGGCGTTCCCCTCCACTGGTTGCTCTAAGTCGCAAGCTATCGGATGCTCGTGAGTTCAGTTGCTCGGTTGCTGAGCTGCATGCTGCACGATGTCTTGGATTCAAGACAAGATGAAGTGTTTAATAGAAGATTATCGCGAAAACAGGATCTTGTGGGATTTGCGTGATGCGTCATATAAAGACAATCACAAGAAGTTGAAAGTATGGGAAAAATTATTTGAAAAGTATGATTGCCCGGTGAGGGATTTGAAGGAGAAGGTAAAAAATCTGCGAACGACATTTCATCGGTACAGGAAGAAAAAGTCCGGGTCTGGTAAAAGTGAACCTTGGGTGCACTTTGATACACTCACATCCCTTCTGGAGGTAGATGCACCAAAAAAAAGTATTTCAACTGATGATCATTTTTCTGAGGCAAGTATAAGCATTAAGGATAAACCAAGAGTTCATACAAGTAGAATATTTTTATTAGCACGTTGAAACTAGACAAATATATTTCATACAAAAGTTGAATAAACAATAGTATTGTACAACGAGCAAGGAATGACATGCATTTAATTATTAATTTTATGTGCAAACCAAGTAGCAGTATCAGTATATCAACTTTTCATTTGAAATATGATGATATAGATATGTACATAGTTGGATGGTCTGGAAAAATCATTTCATGTATACATAATATCCTCTATTTATCAGCAATGATTGCGAAATATTGGCTGTTAAAAGTCGGCCATTTTAACACGTTGACATGCCTTAAATTATATTATTATAAACCATCCTCGGGGAATATGCTTTGCATATTAATATCTCAATTTTTTACAAGTTATTAAATACCAGTAATTTTACGATTTAGAGCCTATGAAATTGTCAAAATGGCTGATTTTCAACTGTCAATTTTTTTCAAAAAAATGAAAATAGATATAGAACATTATGGATGAAATAATAATAAATGTATACAAAAGATGTAAAAAAGAATTATTTATAGGATGTTCCATTGAAAGACAGTTTATTCCTATAGACATGTTGAAGTTAATTCCTAGTTATATGTAGTTATCCGGCCACCTTCTGGTGTGTTGAAGTATGCTTTAAACTCATCCCTAACAGATTTCGCTACTTCGGGTGGTCGTCTAGGAAGTCTTTGAAGTTGCATGATACCAGAGTCTCCTTGTATAATATCCCTCCATGTTCCAGGAATAACTGATCCATCCTGTCTTTCACAGTCAAAGCATCCTGGAGAAGCATATAATTTTCTAGATGCACCTTTTTTTCGCAAAAGTTGTGTAAGTAACAGCACGCGAGTCTAACAATTTTGGCGTTTTCTTTAGTCAATAGCATCGGTTTACTAAACACACGAAACACAGAACACATTAACCCGAACGTGTTTTCGATAACACGGCGAGCACGGCTAAGCCTGTAACTGAATACATATTTTGGAATCCTTGTCCAATTGGAGTCCAGGAAATGGCTTCATCAAATGTTCGCTCAAAGCAAAAGCATCATCCCCCAAAATAACATATGGCTGCTTTACTTGGCGTCCTGGTAGAGGTTCAGACATTGGCAGATTAAGTTTATTCTTTTCCATCTTTTTGAAGAAAGTTGTTTCCCGAAACGCACCACCATCTGAAATTCTACCCTAGATTCCTGCATCAGCAAAGGTACAGCAATAGTTTGCGTCACAAACAGCCATCAGAACGATACTAAACGTTCCTTTGTAATTTAGGTTCATTATCAGGGTTCTTAATAACGACGTGTTAACCATCTACACATCCAATGCAGTGGGGAAAATTCCACATTAGGTCAAAATCTCTGCTAATTTCTTTCCATCCGTTTTCTGTGCTTGGCATCTAAAAAAAAAAATAACATCGTGTTAAAAGTGACATTTTATTTAATCATTTTTTGTTTTAAATGTGTCGCTTTTTGTACTAGTGCTAAAATACTTTATTGCTCTGTTTTAGATAATTTTTAAATGTTGCACTTCTTGCCGCGTAAATTATGAAAATCTGCTTTAATTTTTTAAACCACTGTATGAAAGCACCTGTAAAACATCATCTCACAAAGTCCGCTCCCCAAAGCAAAAAATCCAAATGTCAGAGGCTACACGTCGAGATGAAGACGACCGAAGAGCAGATGAGGCCTATAGAATTCTGCAAACAGCTTCAAATCACGACGACTTTTCCATATACGGACAGCATGTGGCAAATGAATTGCGAAAACTGAGTTCAACCTCGTACCAGATAACAAAAAATTATATAAATAATATTTTATTTGATGCTGCTATGGGAAGATTTGAACCACCGGCTATTTCAAACCTAGTCTGTCCTCCCCCGTTAACGTCTGCGTCGAGTTCCACTCAAAGTTCTTTTAACTAGACTCCAGTTCCTGCACAATCACCTTGTTTACCAACAGACGTCGTTCCTCTTTAAAGTGATTTGCCGCTTAATGGCAGTAAAGAGAATGCATCAATATCGACAGACATACAGAAGAATGTCTCTTCAGCTGATGGAACACGATTTCCTGATATTAATGATTTACTAGATCTCTAACATATTTAAATGCGCTTATTTCATAAATTATTATAAATAATTCATACATGTGTGTAAATTTACTTACCTGAATAAATTCCTTTAAAACCTGAATTATGGCTTGACAAACCTCAGGAATAAAAAGAGAAATTGTTGAGTCTGATATTCTGAAAAGGTACATGAGCGAACGGTAGGAGTCACCAGTTGCCAAGAATCTCAGAGTGCAATACAATTTAATTTTTGCCGGTATACAGCATCGAAAATTTGTATCAGATTTAGAAATCAGAGGAGATATCAGATGTATGAGGTAATCAAATTCCTGTTTATTTATACGTGTGAAATTTTTGAACAGAATTCCGTCATCAGCCATAAGTTTGTTGAAGAAGTCGTTTCTATTCTCATCACTATTCAGAAACAACTCTCTACACCATATCTTGCGTCTTCGCCTCTTTTGCTTCCTTCTCGATAAAATTAACTAAACCGCCGCGGCAACTGTTTGCAATGACAGCTCGAAACAAACTGTGACAGGTTGCTGCAGAGGTTGCTCCGGTTCGCATGCTGCCTACAGATTAGCAAGGTTCCAAACGATCGCATGCTACAGTCAACTTAATTGCCTATGCTTGCCTCAATGTAAGGCCGCCTTCACTTTGCTTTGCATATTTTATAGTGTTTTTTCGTTTTGTGTCAGTTTTGTTCACAACCATGGACGGAATTGAAACTCTATTAGAAAAATGAGGAACGGGAGACGATATTATTGAAGAGTTCGAAGTTAAGTAATCATATGAGTTTATGACTTTCATTACATAGGCCGGTGATGGTCGTACTTATAACGCAATGTCACCGATTCTCCCACGTGGCTCGATCCGGGTTTTATAAATTTTTTATTGTCCCGTGAAAAACTCAAAAAATGGTTGGGACATACTTTGTGGTGTCTGAGAAAGCGATTGAGATATGAATGGCTATGAAATTCGCAGATTTTCTAATTTTCCTTTCTTGATTATTTCAAATGAAAGTCGGCAGTTACTCAAAATGTTCTTGTACCATCTTTTCTTCAAATCACTGTTTTTCCAATAATTTATATTTAAGTATAGGTACAGGTTTTCAAATAATTTGCTGTAGTCCTTCCATGCCAAAGTTATTCTGAAAAACAGTATCTATATAGTTTCAGAGCTGCTGGCAACTTTCATTTAAAATAGCTGAGCACGAATGTCAGAGAGTTTTAGTGATATTGTGAACTACGATCTAGAAAGAACACATTTCAAACTGTTTTACAGATCCTCTAATTAATGAGATGGTTTTGTGGTTTAAAAAACAACATAGAGACATGGAGTGAGGTACATGGAAAAATTTAAGAAGACCCATGCGATCAGAAGGGATTGCGATAGAAAAACAGTGAAACAATTTCTACAAGACTGGCGTATTCTTCAATATCTCCGGAGAGAAGTTTTGGTAAAAAATATCCCACATTTTGAAAAATAATCAGATCATTCTGCTGGTATCTCTGACTAGATTGTTATCATTATAATTTTCTTCTTTCTATCTTCTGCCAATTTTCATTACTTTAACAAGTTACATCTAACATATTTATTGCAGATTAACCTGGATTTTGAGCTATTATTTCCTGACAAAGCTCTTAGCTTATACCTCAGTTGGGATAATGTACTTGAAAAAATTGTTGAACTGAGGGGGATCAAGGGATCACACAGTGACTCAGTTGTTAAAGGAAACTTCTTCGATGTAAGGTACATTTTTTGTTAATATAAATATCTGAATAATATATATTCAGCTTTCAAATTGGTACAATCATTTCATAGTTTTACCACTCATCCAAATCGGTTCATTATATCCAACCATATCAACAAATTCGAGTTTTCAAGATGGCAGACTTCCTGCACAGCTGAAGCTGTTAAATTATTTGATACCACCAACTGAAAAAGTCAAGGCTGGCCACAAGTGGTTGAAATTCTCGACACTAGAGGGCCCAGAGGGAATGCTGGTACGTCTTAAGCTGAGATTATGTTTAGAACAGTTTTTAGTACGGGCATATTACAAACAATTTTAAAAATTATCACGTTTTCGTTGACATTGAAAAGAAATTGAAAATACATCTTTAGATTTTTCAAACCTGATCTGAAAATTTATGAAATAAAATATGTCTATAGTATGCAATAATTTCGAAACTTACATTTATGATATTTTATATTATGGAAATATTGTTTTATAGGTTCCCGGTGACATTTACACTATTGTTGCTAAAAAAGTAAGCGAGGCTGCAGAAAGAAAAGCCACGGTTCAGCCTTATTTAATAGTGGTAGGATCAGATCTATCGAACATAGAAACGAATTATATTGTTACTGACGATAACGTAGCCTATATACATATGTACACTCTGATACAAAAATATGTGTATAAGATCAATCTACATACAGACGAAATTATTCCGGATATTTATGTGAGTCCATTACGTGCGTTGCACGATTGACGTTGATTTAATGTAATGTGATGTTTATATGAAAATAAATATGTTACATACATAAAATCATTATGTTCACTTTCTTCCAACTCCCCACTCCCTCAATTGTCAAAACTTGGCGTAAAAAGTTATCGAATATTCTCTTTTAGGTGTCTTACTCGTAATAATAACTTTCTGATACATGATACATTTTATTAAAACAACCAGAAAGAGATTGACCTGCTCAGCTAACTCAAACATTATTTTTTCTTCACTCTTACTATAATTACATTGGAGAAATAACTATTTTTGTCTACCGCACATGAAGTTGTTGAAATTCAACTTGACTTTGAAATGTTTTTTGCAGTTCTGTACATGATGCTCAAAACTTCCGTGGACATCGGGTTACTATAGATATGCCAATTGAACTGAAGGTACCTATGTATTATATATCCTAACCTGCCTTGTTCGTCTGTTGGGAAGGTGAAAACCTATTTTCATTTTTTTATTATACAGTTTTGGCAATACGGATCCGTAAAAGGTTAAATTAGCCTCATTTGACAATTGGGCTAAATATCAAACAAGCATCATGTTTATGTTTACATATACGCTATTTATAATTGATACAATTAACATATAATTATATTATAATATTAATAATACGAGTATAAAAGTGTATATACATACTACACTAAAATCGATCAAAGTGTTTTTCAGCCATTACGAATAATTCGCTAGGTTTTGAAACTATAAAGCTTCCTCACAGGCAAACGAGGCCGTAGGATATAGATAAGTTGAACTGGATCGACTTATTTTAAACTGGTTAAACTATAGTAATTCTTCTGTGTCCACTAAATTTTGAGACACCATGTATATTTCATCCTAAATATCCATCATATCAAATGAAGTACCTGAATACTAATAATCTAAGTATATCATTTACTTGAAGAGAGATACTTGCTTTTCAAATCAAATACATTGGTAACATGATATAAAATCCTCTGTTCTGTAAATGAACTACATGAATCTCATGATATGTAAGCATCATTTCCTTGGATCAATTTTCTAAGCTCTCGATAGGAACACTTGATTTCCTTGAATCAAAGTAGTAATCCATTATATGAGAGAATCTTTCACCTGAATCTAGTACATAGTTTTGTTATACAAGAGAGATGCTTACTCGATTTATATACATCGGCCACTTGATGTGAGGACAGCAAATTTCTTTTTTTAAATGCCTAATTCTTTAAATTGAAGGTCACTGGATCCTTGAATCTTAGGACATGAAGATGTTCTGTTAAAGTAATATGTCATAGAAACATATCAAAGTCAGGATTTCCTCAACTCAAGGTAATTACTCTTCACTCAAGATCACTCTTTTTTGTGTGCACTCAAACTGAGAGGACCTATAACATACTCGTGACCTAAGTGATTACTCCTAAACTATCAGTAAAAATGAGTATTTGATAATACTTAAAACAGTTTTTCAATTTTCCTCTTCAAGCGTAATATTAACATTGTTTTGAAGAATTAGGTGAATTTAGCATGTATGAAGAAAATAAATGAATCTTCTCAAACAGTGAATATCTTTGATAATATTATAGATGCCAAATCTTTCTAAATACATCGTGGCCCATAAAAACGCGCTTTTTTTAATTACCTTCATTTGGCAATGCAGGGTCGCGCCACCAAGGACCCTTACCTATGGTCAGCCACGATTAAGTCGCTCTGTCGTGAGTTTGCACAGGAAAACACATCACTTTACAAATTCGTTTGTGCACAGGTGCATTGAGAATGGACAAAATTTTAAGGACAAAACTTCACGAAACACAAAGGTGCCTACGTCAAGACTAGAAGACTATCTTGCTCACGGCGGACGGCGGATGGATGACTTGATATTCTGAAAATGAATGGCAGACTTTCTTGTAACGGTTTTTACTAAATATAGTTGACACTTTCAAGCTTTGTCTGTTTTGTGAAAAAGCACTTTCTTATAAGCCATCTTGTAGTATTTGCTCTAGAACTCGAATAGTTTCAAAACTGCCTGTTTTTTTTCAGCAATATAGCATTTTTTACTGTTCCAAGCTAAGTTTTTCGTAGCTATTTTTAGCTACTCTGAAAAGAGCGTCCGCCATAGCTCTCCCTGTTTGTTCAACCATTCCGAAAAATATTCCCTTAGGATCCTGAAGCAGCATGTATGGGTGTCCAAATTCTTTCATGGTACCAGCATCCATCACTAAAACCTTGTCTGAATCCATTATTGTATGTAACCTGTAACCAATTACAGAATCAGTGTACCGGTTTCAAGCGTCGGGACGTGGACAAACTTTGTGGATTCTTAAGCTACAAAAATGTCTGGTAGTGCAATACTTAACATTTTTTAACAGTTTACAATAACAATATTTACTCTGAGTATTCATACCATACTACAATACAGGGTGGCCAGCTAAGAATGCGAAGAACTGTATCTGGGAACCTATCCATCGTAGAGGCTTACGGTAAATAAAGTTACTATAAAACGGCCAAAAGAAAAACCTGGAAAACACTTTAAGGTAGTGAAATTGCCTATCCAAAAAAGTGATGTTTCTGTGAATTTCGCTATATTGACCTAACAGAAAAAAATAGCTGATCTTTAAAGTCGAGGATAATGTGAACTTTCTTGTTTCACAATTTTTGCTGTCCCTAAAAATAAAGTGGCGGGGGTATCTTCGAAATGGCTGATACGATTTTAACAAGCTTGTGCTAGTTGAAATGAACTATTATTGGGCTACAACTGTTATAATAGTTGAAGTCCTGTTAGTTTCACATGTGGCTGCTAGACATTCCGACAGAAATGGTTAGATTTCTCAAAAAAATTAAATGAATTGGTATGCTTTTTTTCACGAAATAGAAGCTAAATGATGTCTAAATGAGCTCGCAAAAACCGCTTCTCGATATCTTATTTCTAACCTAAAATTTAGGCAAAAAAAAATTGTATACGGAAATCCCTCAAATTTTAATTCTTTCAATCTAATTTTTCTGGAATTCGTTTTTATTCATCAGAATAAAATCACCCTTTTTGAAAATATTACAAAATATCTCTACAAGGCAAGTTGGTAATGCTAATAACAAAAGGCATATTGTTTGTTTAAGGCTTAGGCCGCACTACGGATTTTAACCGCCTGATTTTGTGAGTAAGCACATTTGACGCGCCAACCGCGCGCGGTACTGTCATTCTTCGGAACACCGTCATGAAGAACCAGAGATGCATAAGTCATCATGGGCACTACCAATAGTATGTACCTCCACTGCATCATAGAAGTGCTTAATCCTCATGTTTTGCCATGAGAGCGTTTGATCAGGTATTTGACTTACCCCGACAGTTGTAACTGTTTTTCCAGAAGGTATAGAGGTCATGACCCCTCTGATTTCTTCCTTCTGGTGGAAGCAACTGTCTTAGAGGGACTTGCTTGCTGTGGAGGCTATTTTTTTCTTTTTTCCAATGTCATACTCGGTTAATTAACCACAGAAGTAATGTAACAAGCTGTATGATCTCCCTCTCTAGAAAATGATCTGCATTGAATCCACTGTTCTTTTAATTTTGAATAAAAAACACTCCTAAAACCGCAAAAAAGTAAACAGTATTTAAAGCAAAACACGTCAAATAATTTTAATGACATTGACAGAAGGAATACGCATGCGCGAAAAATCAGTTCAAAAATGGTCCCGACAAGAACTACTTGAACGATTCTTGAACCAACCATAGAACTGAAACAGAATATAACTCGAACACCAAATTTCAGTTCTACAATGGTCCGATAGTAGTCCAACAGAAACCCGAACACGTCGGATTCTTCTGCGCATAGTTCTAGAACAGTAATGATAAAAACCCGAAGAAACCTAATACTTCCTCGTTACTTTGAGCAATTTTTGTGCCTACCAAATGCGTTTACGTTACGAACGAAGAAGCTGTTGATATGCTTGCAGTTTATTTTGAATGTCTTCAGAATGCTGCAGTAACAAAAAGAGTTTTCGCGACTTGATATCCAAATCGGCGTCTTCTGCGATGTGAGAGTTTTTCCCCGATTAGCGGCAAGCTTACAAGCCAATGGCCTACGGCAAAGAATTGTAAGAACATAAGAAAATATTAACCGCGTATTGGGATATGTTGAAGGAAATCCTCATGGAAGCACAACGAAATTACATTGTGTTGGTGAACTCAAGAACAACGGTTCAAAATATTTTGAAGGACCATAGGTAAGTTCTAATAGTTTTCAAAATATAGGAACTTAGATTTAACTTATATTTAATTTTAGAATCCACTTTGGCTATTATTGTGCGAGAGCATAATTCAACAGCGGTGGATCAGAAGAGCAAGTCTGTCTCCATGGCATTAGCGATCACCAGACTTAACTTGCTTAGGGGGGGGCTTAGAGGACATCGTATTTCAGACTGAACCTACAACCAGAAAATATATGAAAAACCGGATTCATAATGCAATACCTAACGACAACCGAAATGAAGCTGCAGTTTTGTCTACCCATGAGAGGCTTTAGGAATGCATAGAGCGTGATGGTCAGCATTTCTAGCATTTACGGGGTGATTAAAAACTATCTTGTCTAAATCCGCCCTTTTTAGGGCCACAACCAAATAATAAAAAGAAATTCCATAAGAATTAGTTCAAAAAATATAAATTTAAGAGATTTTTGTATAAAACTTTCTTTTGCCTAAATTTAATTTTTTAGAGAAAATTAACCATCTCTGTCGGAATGTCGAAAAAAGCCATATGTCAAACTAACAAAGCTTCAAATATTACATTTGTAGCCCAAGAATAGCTCTTTTCAACGAGTCCAAGTGTAAAAAACCAATAAAACGTCAAAAAAGCCTATAAAATGTCATCTTGCAGACTAGATAGTTTTTAGGGAGCAAATAGTCATTCCGCTCACTAGGATCGTTGTGAGCGTCCATCTATGGAGGAATGACTCAACTAAACTACACGCATTGCTGGTTGCATATGTTTTGTGAAGCCGACTAGTCTGTAGTTTTTATCTCTGAGAAGAAAGTTGGTTGAATAGCAAGATCGCATCTGGATGATATGTGTATTGGTCTGCAAGGGTACAAAATCATTGATATTATATATATATATATATATATACAGGGTGGCGCATCGAAAACAAAACAGACGCATTTACTGGCAGCTCAGTTTTTCTTTTGAAAAACGCTCAGACCCGTCGATTTTGTTTTCGACAGGGACACAAGTTTGGCAAAAAATCACGTTAGCACGTGCAGACCCCTAAGCGGGTGTGACTCCACCCTCAAAATCTTAAATGGAAAGGGGGGTCGAGTGATACCTTATTTTAAAGGTCTTTCAATTCTCTTTATAATGATATAAAATGAATGTACTTCAGTTCAGTAGTTTTGAAGATTTATTGATTTAAAGCTTAAATAAAACTAATACATCATCATTAGTGGAAATTTGGCAGCAAAAATGAAGAATTAACTTTTTTTTTATATTATTTTTTATATTATTTATTTATTTATATTTATATAACTACCACGAAGGCCTAAGGCCTAAGCACTCATTGGATACCGTGGGGCTATAGGGGAATACATGGGAAAGGGGGGACGCCACACGGACTCTGGCGAGGGAACACGTGTGCATGCAACATGCACACATTCTGGCTCTGCCTACGAAAACCGCCGGGTGGTACCTTCGCGTTCGACAGTCAGAAACCATCTACCACCTACGGACAATCACATAGCCAAGAGAAAAATTTCTCCTGGGACGGGACTCGAACCCGCACAGCGCACGGCGACTGATCAGGAGATCGAAGAGTGTACTACTGCGGCCACCGCTGCTGCCTGAACTGACCCGTTAGGCAAGTAAATGTTGAAAATGGCCACCATGACTCTCCATGCAATAATAAAGATTTTGCTCAAAACGTTGCCGCACATTTTGCAATATTTGAGGAGTAATTTTAAGGCACTCATTCACAATTCTTTGTCGCAGGTCTTCTAATGATGTTGGCTGAGTAGCATAGATTTTGCTTTTTAAATGACCGCACATAAAGAAATCCAAAGGTGATAAATCTGGCGATCTTGGGGGCCATTCAATAGCACCTCTTCTACCAATCCATCGATCTGGAAACGTCTGATCTAAATATTGTCGAACACGTAATTCGTAATGTGGTGGGGCACCATCCTGTTGGAACATCAACCTATTCGCAATGTACCGCCGATCATTCTGATTTTCAATTATGGCTGTTAATGCAGGATCTATGGCGTCTTCCAGTAATTCCAAATACATTTCACCGGTCAAATTTCCAGGTGAGACCAATTAAATGATCGCCAAAAATACCAGCCCAAACATTTAATTTTTGTGGCTGCTGTGTATGAACCTCATAATAAATTCTGGGATTAAAATCGGAACAATATCGGCAGTTATGACGATTTACTACGCCATTTAGGAAAAAGGAACATTCGTCGAAAAGGAAGTGTTGAATAGAAAATGTTCATCGTTTATAATTCGTTCACTCATATCTTCACAAAATTGTAATCGCCGATCAAAATCGTCTTCATTAAGTTATTGTACCAGGTGGATTTTATACGGATGAAAACTATGTTCCTTTAGAATCCGCTGGACAGTACGTTGCCTAACACCACACACAGTCTCCAATTTGCGGGTACTTAACGTAGGATCTACATAAACTTGCCCTATAACCCCCACTTCTATTGCTTCGTTCCTTATGGGATTTTCAATGTTGCGTTTTTTATTGGCGACTGACCCAGTTTCCCGAAATTTAGCTACAAGTTCTAGAACAGATTTTCGATGAACGTTACTGTTCTCACGTCGCTCATTAAATATTTCTACTGTTCTATTGGCGCACTGATTATTTCCGAAAAATATTTCGATAATTTCAACTCTTTCTGCTGTGGAATATACCATGGTTAATTGATGTAATAAAGCGTTACAAGTTATTTTAGCAACAATGTTTGGTCAAATCAATCGCAAACTGTGTACTAAATTCCTATTTAAAATAAGTATGAGATATTGCCTTATGTTTCTTCAAAAAATAACTCTTTTGCCACAAAAAAACGCTCCAATAGCTATTTTCAACAACAAAATGATAAATAAACCATGGGCGTAGTGAAGAAAAGAATTTACTTATTAAGTAAATTCTTTTAGTCAAATTTCTTCTGAAAGTAGTACAAACTAATCTGATGTACCTATTACAGACCACTTTAAGCTTTAAATCAATAAATCGTCAAAACTACAGAACTGAAGCTCATGT